CCAATGTTACTTGGGAAGCACACTGGCTTCATAAGTAATATTTGGTGCCTGCTCTTCAGACTGATGGCAAATGACTCTTTAGACTAGTGTTTACCAGCTGATACTCTATTAAGTAGGCCCAATTATGAATCAAAACAAAATACTGTAATATTCTTGATGGATTTATGTATTTTGTATGTGAGCAAATCTATCAAACTTTAGTATTCACAAAGTATGCCTGTGGTCTTAGGCAGAAGTGTACAATAAGTCAGTGGTTTAGATAACAAAACCTGTTCTTAGGGATGGCAATCATTTTAGCAACTTTTGTGGACCCCAAACAATGGCAAATTCACACTTAAATGTTTATTTACAAAGACAGTGAAAGAGTAATATAGGCAAGTAGATAAACACAGCTTAGATTCAGATGATTACGTTGACTGCAAATGGTCACAATATGACTACATTTCCCATCCCATCCATTCCATATTTAGGTGGGTAACAGTCCGGTGTAAGAGTAGTTTTCCTCACTTTCATGTAGGAAAGTGAGGAAAAAAAAAAATCACGGACACACGGTTGATTGAAGATTTATTTATTTATTTATTCACATTTATTTATATTTAAGCATTTTTTATTAGTCAATTTACATTGTTGATTTTTGTTTCGTTTATTCACATATCACTTCAGCAATTTTTATTGTTCACATAATAAGATGTTCACTTAGAGATATTTATATATTTATAATTTTTATACCACTTATTTAATAAGTTATTGTTGGATTCTCACTTCACTCCAGGAGACCCATAGCGCTCACTATTTTAAAACCATTTTGTGAGGCTTATCTGGCCTTAGTTTCAGCAGCTTGCGGTTAACCCTTACTCTCTGTGAAATCTCCCCCTTTGGGTCTGTTTCATAGCGCAGAACATTCAACCTTCCAAGTAGACATCATGCTTCATTTATTTAGAGCAATCAAAACAATGCAAGATTAATATTGGTTGCTAGTCAATATCGTTTGCTGTAACCCTTTTTCAATGCACTTGTTTTGTTATACAAAAGCCAAGGCCATGTGTCAGAACAACAGCACATTCTTTGTGGATTCCTCATTAAAACGTTGAGCACCACTGGCCTAGAGAATCACTACTGTGGTAGCATAGATGCCAGAGTGATGCACTCGGCATCTGAAGAGCTGCTTCCTTTCTATATGCCTGCTCTACTCAGTTTAGCCAAGATTAGGACTCTGGTATCAACAGCTTTGTGTTTTGGCTGACCAAGGCATAAAAGATCATGGGTATAATTATTTATAACCCATTTGTTTAGTATTTAGCTGCATTAGTGACGTGTACTTCACCAGCAATATATGTAAAAAGTCTGTGTTAAAGAACAGTTAAAAAAAAAGAAAACGCTGTAAATATAAACTTCAATTAGTTCACTCATTTCAGCTATTCATTTTCCGCAATTCACTTTCAATTGTCAAACTACAGTCAAAGATGTGCTGGGCAATCTTGACTCTCCATTAATTTATTTCCAAGCATGATATATAAATCATATGCGAGAAAGCGCAAATGACACCAGCACCGTTTGCCCAGAAGCTCCAGTCATTTAGAAAATGAAAACTTAACCAGTAGTGGAAGTATGCTGGGCTGTTGTGAATTAAATATTCAGAAACGCAGAGTTATATCTGCTAGATACGCAAAACAAAATGTCATATTTTTTCACTATATAACAAAATTACACTCCTTTTCCCTAACATAATAAAGGAGAAGACACATTGCAAAGTATTGTTTACATTACAAAACCTTGATCTGATTAACAGGTATGTTTTTTTACCTGCTAGGACACAGTCAGATTTTTATGTGCCACTGAGCTAGCAAGCAGAGAACTATAATGTGTTGATGCTGATAGAGTTAACAATGGGAGCAAATTAATTGGAACAAGTAATAAGCAGAACATGCAAAGTGACGTGTGCGTGAAATGGAATATATGTTCTCCATGATAAAAACATTTTTGATTTCTCAGTAGAAGTCAGATACAGTTTCTTTGTATTGCACTGTGGTGCTCTAAGCACAGAACAACACAAACAAATGTTATTATTACATTATTACAAATGTTATTTTTACAGATTCCATTTTAAGGGGGTCCATTCATAAAATAAGTATAGTTAAAAGAGAACTATGGGGTAAGTGTTTCTCACCATAGTTCTCTTTAGGCTCACAGGAGGACATATCCTAACCTACTCCCGCGATCCCAAGGCTCAGTATATCGCGGGCCATTGCCTAATAGAGCCGACCTGTGACAGCTTCTTTGTCACACGTCGGCTCTAACTATGAGGAGGAGTGGAAATCCTTTAAAGGTTGACTGTGTATACACATACTGCAAAACAGTTGCCATTCAAGGTACAAGAATTCAAAAATTGCAGAGTGTGACACTTAAAAAGTGTCACACCTGCCACCTATTCAGTTGTCACTTGTAATGACCAGTATAGCAATTCTGACCAAGGTTATTATAAATATGCCGCTTAGATAAATGTGGCCATATGTTCAAAGTGCCAAACTTGCGCGTATGGCTAAATCTAAAAAAGCAACAGCCATGTAACGTTAGGCCAGGTATGGACTTTTTGTGTGAAAGTAAACCTTTGAGGCACATTGGCAAATTCCAACAAATAATACTGCTAAAGTGCAGGCACCTTGTTGGTGGCCAGAAGTACATTTGATAATGCTCTAATCAATTTCTGCAACCCCAATGAACCCCTGGATGATCCAATGCACCCAATATAAAGAGATCTTTGTGTTCAGCCCGACTTTCTTTTTTCTTTTTTTACTTAATTGCCCCACTCCAATGAGTGCTGCACATCTGGTCTTATACTTGCCTTCAGACCCAATCTAGTGAACTTCAGTGTGCAGCCCCATTCTGAGTCGCAGCCTTTCTTCCTATAATGGCCACTTTGTGTAGCACATGCATGCCTCAGCCCAATTTCATCCTATGGGAAAGCTGTACTCATGGTGACCTCAAGCTTTCATCTAGAGTACAGCTTTCCCATAAGAATGAAGGCAAAGGCAAACTGTACAGTGTGTGCTTGTGAAGCAGAGTATTTTATGGTAGTCAGAAATTAGGATTATGAAATAGATAAGGCACTTGTACTAAGATAGCACTGTTATATTGGACAAATGAATGTAGCCGACATGTTTGCTTCAAAGTAAAACCCAACAATTGGCTCCCTACAATCCTTCTGCTGTAAATTACCAGGTTCTGTATGTCTCAACGTTTATTTGTTTTTTTTTGGTCTACTTAATTTGGGAAAATAAAATTTACAATGCATGGTGTCTTCTTCCTTGCTTATTATCTGATGTATTGCATATTAATACTCCACATATTACAAACTTCTCCAAAAAATATAATTATTATAAGTTTATATATTGCTACTATTGGGTTTGAACATTTTGCTACATTGAATAAAATGTATGTAATTTAATAAAAAAATTAAATGTTAATAATTTTTAGTCTACCAATTTTGTGCTATGTCCCAAGTCTTTCCAAATAGACTTCACTAATAGGTGTCCTAGTTTGCTGTACTATCCACCTTGGAATGCAAACATAATGATACCAGAAATTATGTAAACCCTACATACCCCTGAAGCGGAGGTGATGCAATTTGCATACTTTCTGGATGTAACTAACACACAGGGGGATGGGGGGGGAGAGTTCTGCTAGCAGTTTGGATGGGGAAAGAAACAGCACACCATTGCCTCTCCCTCGATAAAAATGCTATTCAGGCACATTATACGTTAGCTGCAAATCTGCCATGAAATGCTGAAGCCACTGCACTAAGTATTCTGTCACACTTTGGCACTTTTTGCACTATGGGTCATATGTGGGTCTATGCTTATAGAGTCCTTGAATTGTTTTATGTGTAGTGCACAGTATATTTTCCCTCTTCTTTTTGTACACATTTTCAACTCACTTCATTATATATCGCTAGCGAATTATTCATGATATTAATATTGCAATTTGTTTAGATTATGTACTCTGTGTACCACTAAAAAGGGAGGTACAGATAGCTTTTACATATCAACACTATTAATCAGCGGGTACTATTTGGGGATAAAAAATATACAAACATAAGATTTATTTGACAATAGTATATTCATATTTAACGTACTATGCACTTGCTGCCACATTTTACTGGTACAGATCTGGATCTGTATTATCTCAGGGGGGAATGAAACATTCCCTTACTGGGAATAACGGGTGTCCACCTAGATATATTTGACTACATTTGCAATTTAGGAGGGGGTTTACTGTTGATTTATTGCATTTTACAAGCATTTTTATCCAATGTGCATTGTTTAGTTTTGTAATAAAGAAATCATTATTTGAAGTATGGTTGTGGCTGTAGTCTTATAATAGGATACTGGAATAGTTGATTTTGCACAGACATTAAACTGGGTCTTACACTGGCTGTCAAATTGTATTATGTACATTCAGCCAATGACAGAGAGCTGCCACACAATATGGTTTTGCTAGAGTTTGCATTAAGCCAACTGTATATCTTTTATTGAGTTGCTGAGGTTAGCAGAGTGAGACAAGCAAACACTCTGGAGCTCATATATGTCACAGTCCAGCTTACAGCAAACTAGGACAGGAAAGCCACCTTGAGAAAAAAATATCTGTCCCATAAATGTGTACATGAAAAAACTAATTTCGACCACCAATATCCTTTTAACACCGCTTAAGATTCAGCATATTCCTGAGGGGTAAAACCTGAATGCATATGGTTTCCAGTGGCATATACCAATTATATTAATGCAAGCAGCCCATACAGACTCAGATTGGTGGTGTTTTGTTGCCAGAATGCCAATGTGGGCCTGGCAGACCTAAAGGATGTACCACTGTAGAAGTGAGAGGTCTTGCACCAGTTTATACAAATATTATCCAATGTAAGAGATATTGCATTTAGTTTATGAATAAATATAAATAGAACAACCATAAAGCAGCATACAGATAGTTCTAAAGTATTTCTCACTGACCTTCAGTACATTTCTGGCATCAAATGATTCTCTTTCTCTTTGCCCAGGCCTTCCAGGGGATATAGTGCTTCTTTCTTCAGCTGTAATAAAAACACCTAACCAGTCATTTAAATAGCTTTTGTAAACTAGAACAAACAAAACAAGACTTTAATGCAAGTAAGTGCACTCTGTTATGGAAAAAGGACAATAAAATGAGGGCAGAGAGGCTGAAGCAGTTTATATAAAAAGGTAATAAACCCACCAAATGCACTTGTAATAACATTGCAATAAGCATTGCTAATTGTCTAAGCCTTTTATTTTTTCTTATATCCATTCTAATTTCTTGATTAAGGACATATCACAGACACATTACTGCAATACAACAGAACCTTATTATTAAAATGATAATGCATGTTATTTAAAGGTCAAAATTGCATACACTGAGAATTGCTTGGGCTGCAACAAAGGTTTTATTTTATTAACAGCCTGAATTTTATGTGTTATTGCACAGTGGAGGAAGACTTAATGACTGTACCCTTATTAACCACTGCTTGATAACAGTTGGAAGAGACTGTATATAATTCTTAGTATAAATTCAGTACAATGCAATAATAAAACACAAAAAAACAATATTAAAAATGTAATAGAGAGTGTAAAATCCGCGCTTATGGGTAGGTCTGATATAAAAGCTGCTGCGCTGTAAACCCAATATTAAAAATTTGATCCCATATCAGATATACCTCACATCTCTCACCTGTGCAAGAAGAACAGCCAGGTATTTGGTTATAACAATCTAGTGTGAGATTTAAGATAAATATGATTCTTTCCAATAGTTGTAATGTTAATTACAGACTTTTCATATTTTTAGAAACCTTACCCTTAAGGAAGCGTGCTTGCCCACAGGCAGAAACTGGCCCAACCAACTAAAGAGCAGTTAGAAAGCACTAAAAAAGTTACCAAGTGAATTAATTGAAATCCTAAACTTTCCACATGACACTTCAGGCGAGATTAGAATCCGCACTCCATAGTTACATGTCAGTAGAGGGGAGTTTGGGCTTAGTGTGAACCCAGTTTGCATGAGTTCGTCCACGCCTGCTCAAAACTGTGACTGCCAATCCTCCCTCCCAGTTTATTCAGTGGCGGCAGTTGCGTCTGAGGCATTCCCCACCCCTTTGTGATATATAGATGCGGGGTGGGGAATGCACCTCACCCGAAATGATTGGCCCGGACAGAGGTGGTGGCAGTCAGCAGTGAGAGCTTTGATGGGGCTTGGGCTAAATGAGGAAAACTGGGTTTGCACCCAGCCCAGTCTAATCACCACATATCAGGTGTTGGATCTCCTTGACTCCACCGAAGGAATCAATTATACCATCAAATGGAACACCGCACACCAAGATGAAGCTGAAATAGCTGAAAGTTCCCTTTGTGGTTCATGCTCCAAATAATATGAGGAATGTACTTCAGAGAGGGGAAAACGGAAGATTCACTTCATAGCATTGCCCTAGGTCCCATTGGTCCAGAAAGTGAAACTGCTAGTGGGACATAGACCTAAAATAAGCTTTTGGATAAATTCTATTAAAGAAAATTCAGTTTAATATATTTTTTTACATAGTTAGTCCACTGTAAACCAACTACTGGCCTTAATTATATTTTCGGAACCACAGCACAAGCTGTAATCCCCTGCCCTATTTCCAGAATGTTTTTTATGGCGTTTTAAAGCAGATGGGTTATTTATTTATTTAGGCACAGGAAACTTTGGCAAAATTTTAAACAAATGCAGCCGTGTTTGGTCCTGTCCTAAACCTAAAAAATTAATGCATTGCAGCACATGGTCCTTCAAAACAATAAATCATTTTTTTCGGTTTTGGACTGCAATATATTGAATATTAGGGGTTGATGTTGCGAATTCTTACAGCCAGAATATCACTTCCTGTTTAATGGTGACAGTGCTTACTGAACTGGCTCCAATTTAGTTAAGAATTTTTACCCCCTCAGTACTCCTGCAGATGGACTACAAATGTACATGCCTATATCCCTGCAGATATGATTGAGACTTTATTTGCTAAAACGTAAACATTTTTAAAATATTTCTTCCTAGAACTGTAAATTTTATTCCTCCTTTATACACCCCAGAAACAGTATTACAGCATGCAATAACAAAATGAGACAGACAGGGGTTGTTGATCATATGTACAATAAACAGATTCTCAACTTGATATCAATACTTGTAAGACATATGCACTTGCCTAGGGGGTCTCTTCGGAACAGTGTATTCATAACTGTTGCATGAAGTTTTACTCTGTCCCATTCTTTTAACATCAGCCCCGAGCCCAGAAATCTCTGCATAAGACGATCCGCTATGAGCTGCAACCTGTGCAGAAAGAGAAAATACACATTATTTTATGTCAGTTCAGTCTGCCATTTACAAAGTGTAGCTTGACTGCAAAGAGAAGGCGCAAGCATCCTAATTACAGCAGCAGAGTAAAGCACAAGCTGTCAGAACAAGACAAGTGGGTTCCCTTGAGATACAATGTGACTGCGTGCCAGGGCATTTGGCAAATTAGTTTTAGTACATTTAGCATGACTGCGTAGATGTAATTTCTGTACATTATCAGAAATATCCTCTTAACAAAACATGATCTTAATGTGAAATTACTTTACCATTTATTCATGGCGAAAAACAAAATCACTGTGTTTGGGAAAACTAACAAAAAAATCAAGCCTGGGAAAATCCATCTTTGACAGTCGATTCCTCTTCCCCGACTGGTTGGTTAGGGAATGTTTGTGGATAATACTTCTCCTTCATACAGGCCACACAAGTATCACCTCCATTTAACAGGTATGCCAACATAGGGGAAGAGTATGTGATGTGAGTGTAGGCGATCAATAGTGTATGGGTGATTTTGACCATTATATCGACCTCTGTTAAGCGTTACAACTACGTACTGTCCGGTATCTGTTATTCCTAGGGAAAAACAAATAGAAGGGAATTTTTCAAAACTGGAGCAGACTGAACAAACTGAAGAGAAAATCTGATTGGTTGCAATGCACAGCTGATCCAGACTTTGTCTGCACCCGTTTTGATACATTTTTGCCATTATCTTTTTTAAAAAAAACAATAATTAAAGAAGTATTTTTTTTTTTTTTGTGAGATCGGCAGAGGATACCAGCTGCTTGCATTGCTATGCTTTACTTTTTCACTGCTGATTTAGACTGTCATAAGACCATGACAATTCTCATACACCTACCACAGCTGCAAAGAGGGCATTGGTTGGGTACCACAAAAATACCTTCATTCTGACTACAGCACTGCAAAGAAGGGAACAAGACATAACAACAATAAATGCTGCAAATTATGCAGCCCCATCAATCATTTAAAATGTGTCACACAAAAAAAGAACTTTCAATATGACAGGATCATACAGCTGCACCTCCAATAATGTGGTGTACCCCCATTCAATGCAACAAGTGCAACCAGGGATGTTACACTGGTTATACAGGACACAAAAAACACAAAGGAAGAGGATTACTGCACACCCGTGGAACATAATTTCTCACAACCACACCATTCTATGGAAGATATAAATGATTTGATTCTTAAGGGGGATTTAAAAAATACACAGGAAAGAAAAACTTTTGAACTATGAATGGTAATTCTGTTTGACACAATTGATAATGGACTGAATGTGGACCCAAGTTTTCAATTACATTTTTTAATGGCCATTGTCAGCTCTGTGGCTCTCCACCTCTACCTTCTTATTCCACAGACCCCTTCTTTACTCCTTAAAGCAGACCTTTACACTCAAAAATCAAATTCTACCTGTGCATCCCTCTATGTATGATGATTAATTATAACATAGACATGTCAGGTGTAAAATGCTGTGATTTTGAAATACTTAAACTTGCAGAGCATTCACCTCCTGCTTTGAAAGTGCAAATTACTTCAGTTTGCCAACGTACTGCACACTGATTACAGGATTACCTTGTCATCAACAGAGCATTGCTGGTAAATCTCATCCGTAATCTCAGAAGATCTCAGGGAAAGGCATTTTCTTCCCCTGAGATGATGTGCATAGTCACATGTCCTAGTCACATGTGCCAGTTTAATGCAAAAAAAGTATCATAGACAGTAATCAACTGCGTCATTGCAATATTGCACGAATACAACTACAAGCACAATAATAATGTAAGAATAACAATCCATACCTCAAAGAATTCCAAGAAACGGTTATTATACAAAATTCCCTGTAACATACCTACAGTTTATCAAAACCACTACAGAGACGTTAGCTGGCTTTATATAGAGATATTACGTTGCCAACAGCAATACAGCTATTTCATTCAAAAGACACAATGCCTCTAGATTGGGGCCTGAACCATTACAAAATTACAGGCTGTACCCTGCCTGCTTCCAGCTGGCATCTGTTAATATTGCATTTTAAGACTCTGAATGTTTTATACGATATGAATTTAAATGAATACTTTTACAAGTTTATTACGTAGCTGTAGAATTCAGTATCATAATAAAGACTAACAAAAACAAATAAATAAAACTGCAAAGTCCTATATTTTCTCCCTCCTACCGGCCCTTTTACTCCTTTGTTTCATCTAAATCTTAAAAGCAGAATTTCAGCCAAAAGTAGAAACAAATAAAATGATTAGCCCAATAAAAAAAGCAGCTTTTACTGCTATAACAGTCAGCATCATTCAAATCACTTCCTCTGAGCCTGGGCTGTCGTGTACCCACACCCCCAGCCTGAGACTGGACAGTGAAGGAGAAGCAGCACAGTTATAAGCTCATCTCTCCATCACTTTCCTTTCTCTTTCTATCAGCATTCTTATACTCAGTACATGAACTGATTGACTCTTTCTTCCTCTCCCACTCAGCTACACTGTATCTGGACTGCAACAGGCTAATACTAAGTTACGTTTAGGTAATTACACTGCTTGCATTTAGAAAATACATGAATACAGAACTCCACTAATTTGTATATTTACATTGGCCTAGAGTCCAGTTTTAAAGTCATTTCCATTTAATATAGTCATATTATAGTTAGTTCATGTGAATGCCTAGGCCCACCACCCCACAGGGGCGGACCGCCAACACAATGGGGGCCCCGGGCAATACGAGATTATGGGGCCCCCCTTGTGCTCCACCCATATACAAGATACAGTCCGTGTAGCCATCGCACTCAGAGCCGCTGCTCCAAAAATGGAGGGTGGGTGCAGCAGGTGTCAGCGGATGGCTTCCGACAAAATATCAGTAAAGGATGGACACCGGCACTCCAAAGCAAGTTCAGTAAATGTTTATTAACTATAACCGTTAATAAACACGTACTGAACTTGCTTTGGAGTGCCAGGGAGAGTTTGCTGTTTGGAGATCAGTGTCCCTGGTTAGCAGGTAACCAGGGACGCTGATCTCTCTGCAAGTGGCCGGAGCCAGCAGTAAGATCACGGCTGGCTCCGCCCAGCTGTCAGAAGCACTATTCCGAGATACTGACAGTGTAATGTGCCGGGATTGGCGCATCAGCACTGTGCCGGTCACCAAACTTAAGCTGCTGTGAGATTTAGCCCATTTGCTGGTGTAAATGGGCCTTTGTTATGTATTACAGGTAATTATTTAAACACTTAATATACAAATTAAGATCTATGGGCAAAATCCCGCGATCGTACGATAATCGCAAAGTGTATGGAAGGCGTGCAACCGTTTTTACTGTACGGTCGCACGTCTTTTGTCTAAGGAGCATTTTCGAAAATCTTACGATTTTCAGCTGGTTTGTGGCATGCTCGGGAGACAAATGCCAAACGGGCCGGTGTGCGCATGCGCACACTGCCCGTTCAGCATTGTGGTCTTCGGAAACCCGCCCCTCAGCGGGGCGGGCTTGCGATGATCGCAAGTACGATCTGCCTGTCCAAGATGGGCAGATCATACGTTTTTTAAATTACTTTACAACCACCTAGGTAAGCAGAGAGACAGGCTGCAAAATAAACTGAAGAAGCACAAGATAAAAGTAATATAATTTAACTAACATCAACCTGGAAGCTACGGGCCAATATAGCCACAAGTCAGCCTGGCTGAGGGAAAAAGCGAGGCAGACACAATGATAGTAAGACAGGCAGGTGTACAAAAAGATTGTGATTAACATAGGAAAAAGAGAAAAGCAGCAGGGCTGAAGCTTGAGGTCTAGAAAAAAGTAGAAAACAGAAAATTAACTTCCAAGAATGATAACCAAGCAATACAAAGCCAAGAAAAGCCACAATTTTTCAAGCAAAACTAATTTCCAGGATGGCCAGAGTTTAGAATACCAAACAAACCCAGGTATTTCTTACCATTTTTTAAGAAATGAAGGCAACTGGAACACTCGATACACAGAGAATAAAAAAAACAGCAGGGATGCACCGATACCCATACTAGTACTTGCTCAAATGCTCCCGAAACTTATCCCAATACCATCACTTCCGGTATCTGGAAGTCGGGCAGCGAGTTATTACTCTCATCACCACGGAGCATGGAGTTGGCTTCCCAGCCAAACAGGAAGCCGCGGGGCAGGTAATGACTCGCCTCAGGGTTCCTGAATGGCCGGGAAGCCGACTCCATGCTTTCTTGTCACTTGGTGACGGGGGAGCATAGAGAAGGTTTCCTGGCCAATCAGGAATTTGGAGGCGTGTAATGACTCGCCACCTACCTTCCTGATTGGTCGGGAAGTTGGCAAATCAGGAAGCCAGGCAAGGAGTCATTACCCTCCCCCTGGCTTCCTGATTGGCCAGAAAGCTGTCTCCATGCTTCCTCCCCACCTGGTGAGGAGGGAGCATGGAGGCGGCTTCCCAGTCAATCAGGAATCTGGGCGGTGAGTCATTACACGCCGCCCAGCTTCCTTAATGGGACTTCTGGTATTGGCATTCGATATCAGAGAGTACCAAAAAAAAAATATCAGTACTCGTGCTCGATACCAAAAAACAATATCGGTGCATCCCTAATAGTATGGGCCTGACTGAATGAGAGCAACATTTAGCAAATGGAGAGATAAAGATAAACTTAGCCAGAAATCTCAATTTGGTGAATATGTAAAAGGCACTGAAGAATTTCCTGAGTTCAGTCCCTGGCAAAACCTTACATAAAAGCCGAATGGAAATTGGATATTTGCCCCTATAAAAAAGTTAGAAACAGTATTTGCCAACCAATAATATTTTCCAATTGTGCCCATGATATCCATTCACTAGCGATCAGATGCCAAATCGCATAGGCAGAATTTTGCATTGGCATATAATGTATATTGAGCATAATTCGCTCAAACTAAATTCCCATATTTACAACATGATTGCAACAAGCTTAAAGTCCTTTAGCGCTCCCAAGGGTGGTGGGGTGGTGGG